GTCTCTCAGAAATTCAAGCCATATGTCTGCGAACCATATTTCCACACGTTAACTCCGCTGTGATTGGCTGGTGATTTTCCCAAGGTCAAGTTTGTTATCGTTTTTCTTAATACCCTGATTCGGGACGCAAACATTGACGTAGATTGTTGTCTACAATTTTTGGTTTGCAGCCAGCTCTCACCGCAGTATTATTATTATGGCTGTCAAGTTAAAAATAAGTGCTTTCCATTAGGAGTAATATAAGAATAGTTGAGAAGGGAAATGAGATCTTAATGATAGGCCAAAATCATGTATCAGGCAGTTATATTAACAATCAAAAACAAATTTTTAATGCCTAAAATAAAAAATGAAAGTCGGTCAACAACTGAACCACTAGGATTCTGGCTATCTAGTCAGGAAAACTTGTAATAGACGAAGTGGAATTCGCGACCTCCGAATTCCTCAATTCTACGTCAAATTTCACCATAGTTTCTTTCGGAAGCTGAAATATATTCAGATACCCATTGACTTTATCAAGCTGATCACAATTTCGTCTTTCAATGGAATCTATGATGAAATTCTACCTCGAAATGTGTATAATTTGAAAATCGCTAGTTTGATTCTATCTCAAGTAGTTGTATCCATAAATTTGAGCGTATTTTAACGAAATGTACTACAAAGCTAAAAGTTTACTTAAAATTATTCATATTTACGAATCTGTAGGGGTTCGAAATAAAGTTCATTTTATGATTTACCAATCAATATTATGAAGTGATTCAGGTTTCAAATTACTTTAGTTCACTTGACTTTTCTTTTGGTTAATATATAAGTTAATCGGTTGGAGGATTTCATCATGAGCTGACATGAATTAGAGAACCATTGGGAAACCAGCTTGGAGTGCTGGAGAACTGTCTCGTCCTGGTTTGGAACTCTTTGGCAGTAGGCATCCGCCGGGGTTCGAACCCAAGGCTTGCTCGTAAACCATTAAGCTACTTAAGTCCGATTCATTTGCCCATGAATTCTAACTTTGGTGGGTTCGTACTGATGAAGAGTCCCAAACTAGGATGAAACAGCTGTCCAGTACTCCCAGCTGGTTTTCCAATAGTTCTCTAACTGATGTCAGCTCATGATGAAATCGTCCAACCAATCAAACAAAAAATATCCCTACAAAACCAATACTTGAAAATATAAGTTTATCGACGCAGAGATTTTGTAACTGAGATTTGAACACTTAAAAGTGACATTAGAATGTGAGACATTTAGCTTTATCAGTGGTTCGCTTCATTTTCTCTGAGTATTGCAAAACACTACGTCAAATTCTGTCAGTTAGTATATTAATACTTTATTGTATTCCATTACGTTCCCAATGGAATATAGGGTTCCAAGCTAGATCTTTGAAATTTCAGTAGTGATGGTGTTTTTGGTGTGGTTGTGTTCTCTGAGCTGGATAGTTAGTTTGTGAAGCGTTCACCACCCTACTAGGTGACATCTTCAGCTCATACTTCATTTTGAAGTGAGCTTTTAGATTTCTCCACGAGTTTATTAATCATCTCTCCTGGTCGGTGACCTTGGACGTGATTGGTTGTTTTTTTGTGTTTTCACACCTTCTAGGTTATTTGTATTGTAATTCATTGTTTCTTTGACTTGAAATTTGACCGTTTGTGTGTGAGGTTTCTTTCTTATCGGTTGATATATTTTGTCTATCTCGATTTGTCTATTAATTGATGATTCACTGGAATACCAAGCGGGCTTCTAAAAATTCTCTAGCATTTTTGTTGTTTCCTCTGTCTAATATTTGAACATTGCCCCAATCGAATTGATGTTCATGCTTGTCTGTATGTAGTGATGTGAGTGAGGGAGTGGATGTCATGTCTTCTGACGGCTAGCTTGTGATCTTGGATACGAAGACGAAGGGGACGTCCACTTTGGCCAATGTAGTGTTTTTCGCAGTTGTTAAAATTTATTTTGTAGATGATGTTGGTTCTATCTTCTTTCGCTGTTGAGTCTTTTGGTTGACATAGAACTGAGTGAAGTGATTTTGTTGGTTTGTGTGAGACGTCAATTCTTAAAGGTTTGAAGAGTCTTGCAGTGATTTCTGATATATCCTTTATATATAGCAGGGGGATTTTCTTTGTGCTTTCCTTGGGGGCTTTTGGTTTGATAGGTTGGCTTGGGGTATATGTCTTTTGATGAAATTCCGTGGATATCCATTCTTTTGAAAGACGTCCATGAGATATCTTTCTTCAATTTTCCTTAAGGTGGGAGTGCTGCAATGAGTCCTGGCCCTTTTGAATAGTGTTTGTATGCAATTCCTTTTGTGTGTTATTGGATTGTTGCTGTTGTAATTGAGTATTTTATCTGTGTGAGTTGATTTTCTATAAACCTGAGTTTCTAATTCCCCTGTGGTTGTTCGCTTGACTAAGACGTCCAAAAATGGGATATGGTTTTCTGATTCCTCTTCTCTTGTGAATTTGATGTCGTTGAAGACGTTGTTTATTAATTTATGAGTTTTATCCAACTGGTTTCTTTCGATTATTACAAATTTGTCGTCTACGTAACGTGATGGTGTTTACTTTTACGGGATGGGGTTGCTAGCCTCATGCTCAACCTTCCCTCTTTACCAGTCTTATTACCGACTTAACGAGCTTAAGGAGTATATCGGCTGGGGACTGAACCCCCGACCACATGCGTAGTTAGCGAGTATTCTACCGCTGAACCACCAACGATTTACCTCAGTATAGTCAGATATATCTTTTCTTTCCCTGGATTCCGAGTGGAACATTGGGCTTCAAGCTTTGAAGTTTCAGTAGTAGTGAGAATAGTTTCATGGGGGTAAGATTGTTAACCTCGCACCCAGCCTTCCCTCTTTTTTAGGATTACTATCGACCGGTGAGTTCGACTAAGTTTGGTAGTGTGTTTAAGTGGAATCGAACGCAGACCACATGCGCGGCTGACAAGTACTCTACCATTGAGCCACTGATCATATTTCATCAAAGTTTAATTAAAGCGAGTAGTGCTATGCTGCAGAGATTTGTGTCACATCGAAGTGCCATCCACTAAAATAGTTTGTTCAACTAAGAATTTGAATAAACTGACCCTTTAATATTTCTTACTGGCTAACTAGAAAATGACATAATTAGTTCCGTAGAACTTTAATGCAACATTTTGATTTCTATCGTAATTTCTTTACATCTAATTTCTAGTCACCCTGAAATGTATTTAAATATCGATAGATAATCTTAGCTATCGCTATCTATTTTATGTTTTTGTAGTTTGACCACGTATTGATATCAGTTAGAGTACCATTGAAAACCAGGTGGGAGTACTAGACAGCTTTTTCTTCCTAATTAGAGATTCTTCGGCGTTACTTACCGGCAGGGGATCGAATCCAGGACTTTCCGGTCACAAGGCAAGCTCGTATACCATTCAGTTACTGGGACCCGATTCAGTGGCCAGCCTATGAATTCTAACTTCGTGCGACTACCACCCAATATCATCGACGGGAAATCCATCCCCACTTCCAAATGACTGGACCTTGCTGGTCACGACTTCTCACTAGAACTCCAGGAAACTTTGTCCTGTAGCAAGTCACGAGCTTGCCTTGTAACCGGAGGGTCTTTGGTGCATACTTTTGATGATTCCCAAACTAGGATGAAACAGCTGTCCAGTACTCCCGACTGGTTTTCAATAGTTCCATAAGAGATATCAATCCGTGGTCAAACCCGGAATACAAATCTAATCTCTACAAATCAACTCTTGAAAATTTTATTTATGATTTAATATTGAAGACTAAAATAGTGCATAAAGACAGTTCTACTTTTGATATAACACTCTATTATTATTTTTTAAAATTATTATTATTGTTCCCTTGGGTTCCTAGTGGAACATAGGGTTTCAGCTGCACGTCTCCACTTGCTTCTGTCTTCTGCTGTACTTTTCACTTGCATCCATGTTAGTCCATACTGTTTCACCTCCTCTTCACACGATCTCCTCCATGTCACCCTTGGACGTCCTACTCGCCGCTTCTCTTTCGGGTTCCACTCGAGCTATGGCCTGACGTGCGATGTCACCCAACGGCCTCCCCAGCTCAGCGAGTGTCCAATCCATTTCCACTTTCTCCTGCATATTTGTTGAGCGATTGGTTCTTGTTTTGTTTGTTCCCATAGTTTCTTGTTTGTGATTCTTTCCGGCCGTCTGATCTTCAGTATAGAGAGAAGGCAGTTGTTGATAAAAGTCTGCAACAGGCTGTTGGAAATATTCTTTGTGACCCGCCGCCAAGTTTCTGATCCGTAAAGCAAAATTGACTTCACGTTTGTATTGAAAATCCGAATTTTGTTGTTGATGCTGAGTGACGAAGATTTCCAGATTGGTTTCAGGTTGATGAATGTGTTTCTCGCCTTCCCGATTCTCGATTTGACATCCTCGTCCGTCCCTCCTGTAGTTGAGACAATGCTCCCTAGACAAGTGAGTGAATGAAGTAACCTCTTTCAAATCCCTCCCGTTGATGGTGATTGGCGCTGGATGTTGCTACTGCTGTTGTTGTTGTTGTTGGTTGGTTATTTCCATAACCTCCGTCTTGTCTATGTTCACCTGGAGGCCTGTCTTCTCTGGCTGCTTCTTCGACCAGTTTGTCGTTTTCCGCTTGTAAGTCTTCGATTTTGTGTGACATCAAACATAAATCATCCGTGAAATCCAGGTCTTCTAGGTTCTTCACTTTGGTCCAGGATATCCCTGTCTTCTCGTTTCCCACTGTCTGACGCATAATCCAGTCCACCACAATTAGGAATATCATTGGTGATAATAAGCACCCTTGTCTGACTCTTGTGTTTACTCCAAACGCCTCACTGAGTTTCCCGTTGTGGATCACTTGACATGTGCCATTGTCGTACAACTTTTGAATAAGGTTGATGTATAACACTCTATTGGGGATAATAAATGCAAGAACAATGTAACTTTATAATCAAGTGACACAATATTTTATCCTTTCTAAAGTATTTTGTTTTATTTTTTGTAAATTACAGATACTTGATCGAATGGAAAGAGAGGATTGTAGAAGACTACCACGTTCTGGTATGGTTGGTTATCCTTATTTTACACATCGGACGTATTACTAATCCTATCAAGTCTCAATTAATCTGCTATTTTATAACTGTCAAGAATTGCACGACAACAGAGGTTCATTTGTCTGTGAAATATATGCATAAAAATGACAGTGATTGATTTGATTTTCAGACAATCCATTTTGTTTTCTTTCAACACATTCATCGTATATCTCCGACGGATATATATAGATGATGGATGGTACACATAAAAAAATGAGAACCTTAAAAACACAAAGAGTATTGAACTATTGGACTATTTAACTTCTTAAAAGTTTATTTAAAGTAACTTATTCATAAATTTATTCATTAATCTATCATAGATATGAAATGTAATAAAAGAAATATCTATGTTCATGAAAAAAGGAATTTGTAATCTTTTTGTTTTACCTCATGAAATATACTCATCCAAACGTCGGAATAAGAACAGACTGTTCAATGATGAAAACCTACAACTAATCAATCAAGTCCCTAAAAACCAAAACTTGAAAATCACTGAGATGCTCACTAGCGACTGGCCCTATACAGCTAGGTACAGCAGTTTGGACGTGAGGACAGATACTCGCCGAAGACATTGGCTAGCGGTTGCGCTATGTTGTGAATTGACAGAAGTTAGAATTCATGGGGTGGCCACTGGATAGGGTCTTAGTGGCTTAATGGTCTATGAGCTAGCTCGCCTTGTAACCAGAAGGTCCGGGATTCGAACCCTAGCGTTGGGTGCGTACTGTTGAAGAGTCCCAAACTAGGATGAAACAGCTGTCCAGTACTCCTAGGTGGTTTTCCAATGGTTCTCTAACTGATGTCAGCTCATGCTGAAATCCTGTAACCAATCAACGAAAAGTCTCTTTTCGGCGAATTTATTCACTTGTACAATCACAGTTTACATTAACATTTTTTTTCTGTATTTTCGTGCGTATACATAGCAAAAAAAAAGAAAAAGAAAAACTTGGCGAAAATACCCATTGTTTCATGAAGAAAATAAAAGGGAGAATTCAGCGAAGAAAAATTCCTTTCAAGTGTTGGTTTGTAGGGATTTGATTGGTTGCAGGATTTCATCATGAGTTGACATCAGTTAGAGAACCATTGGAAAACCTGAGAGTACTGGAGAGCTGTTTTGTCCTAGTTTGGGACTCTTCAGCAGCAGTGGCCAATTCGGTGGCCAGTAAATGAATTCTAACTTCTGCCAATTCACGACATAGCGCGACCCTTAGCCAATGTATTCGGCGAGTATTTGTCCTCACACCCGACCTGCTGCACCCTACTGGTCTTTATTGACAAAGTCATCTTCACAGGCTGTACTGTACAGTTGTATTTATATTTACCAAAAATGTATAGTAGTCTGTTGGATGACATAATTGATATAATTACTCAGAAGTGGCTATAGAGGTAAAAATAGAAGCTGTAAATTACGTAGTTCTGAATGGCACAAAGCAAGAAAGCGTTCGAAATTTGATAAGGTTAAACTTGCTATTGAGTGAGAATAAAGGTAGTTGAGTGTCAGTTCAACAAGTGTGAAGAGGGTAAGAAAATCTATAAAAGGAGCATATGAGAGTGATAATAGTGAATTAATTATTAAAGTAAAAGCAAACTAGAAGTAAAGTTAAAAAAATATACAGGGAAAGACTAGTGAAGAAGTTAGGACCAAGGTAAAATAAGAGACTGGAAAAACTTTTTCTGTATACAGAGTTTGAGATTGCACTGACGAATTACCGACGCCTCCATCACACACAAATGCCGAAACTTGACACTTTTTGTACCATTTGTCCTCACCTCGTAGATAACCTCAAAAGATGACCCTGGTGGAACTACCTGGTTTGAGTTCACCAAGTGTTCAAGAATTCAGCTAGTAACTGTCTTACACTGTCCCTTTGCTAACCATGCCGTTAACCAGTCAAAAATCACTGTAAAACCAACACTTGTAAAGCGATGAAGAAATATTGATCGTAGAATGATGAATTCATCTTTTAGCTTTTATTGTTTTGTTTAAATCTACCAACGTAATTTAATGTACAAAATGATGATCAACCAAAATTCAAAAAATCATTATTCACTACAAATCAAATCTCCTTTCAGTTATACAATTTTTAAAAAAAATCATAAAAGGCAGCAAATTTTGTTGAAGAACTTGATACTTAAGCATAAAATTGAGGAAACCATTAGTTTTATTATAGAAAAAAAGGAATAAAATTACCGGAGTTTTGATCGGAATTTATGAATTTTTGAGTGAGAAGTGTAAAAAAGTTAACTGTGAAAGATAATTCACACATAATGGATGCGTATTCAACATCGATACATTTTTAGAGTTATCTCTGAAAATATGTTGTAAGTTCTTTCAATAGTAAGTCAATTAAATGCATTAAAATAGCATAATTGATTTGATTAGTTTCCTTCCATATAGTTGCCATATCTGGCAAAAATTCTAAAAAACGCAAAAAGAATACCGAAATTCTTATTACATATCACTTCATAAAGAAATCTTATAAAATGTATTATTATTACATTATTGTTTCCTTTAATTCCAAGAGGAACATAGGGCTTCAGCAGCACGTCTCCATTGCATTCGGTTCTCTGCCAACGTTCTCACCTGGTTCCACGTATGCCCACATGCTTTTATCTCCTCTTCGAATCACCTCCTCCATGTCACCCTCGGACACGAGGCCAACCCATCGTTTCCCATTCGGGTTCCACCCGGGTGGTGGCCCAGCGTGTGATGCTACTTGATGGCTTGTTTTCTGGGAGTATGGCTAGGCCAATCCACCTCCATTTCTTCCTGTATATCTGTTGCACATTTGGTTCCTGGTGGGTTGGTTCGTTCATTGCCAGAGATCCCTCATTATTGCTGATCTTTGCTCGTCAGCCATCTGATTTTGAGTGGTGTTGAGCGGAGATAGCTAATGATGAAAGTCTGTAGTTTGTCTGAAGTGCCCTTCGTGACGCACGCCAAGTCTCAGATCCGTATAGTAGCACTCACTTCACATTGGAGTTGAAAATCAGCATCTTATTTTTCACGCTGAGTGCTGTTGATCTCCACACAGACTTGAGAGTAATGAAAGCTTGCCTTGATTTCCCGATCCTTGCTGCTTTGATATCCTCATAAGTTCCGTCCACATGTAGCTGAAACGATGCTTCCCAGGTGGGTAGTTAAAAGATGCTGCTTCTTTCAGATTTCTCCCATTTTTGCTGATTGTTGTCTGTTTTTGTTGCTGTTGCCATTGCTGTTGGTCAGGAATCTTCATCACCTCTGTTTTCTCTATATTAACCTGAAGAAAGTCCTATCTTTGATTCTTCTATCACCAACTTGTTGCTTTTCACTTACATATCTTCCAGTTCGTATGAAATCAGATATATATCATCGGCGAAGTCCAGATCCTCCAGGTTTTTGTGTGAATCCATTTTATGACTGTTTCCTCTCCTCCCGCTGTCTGTCTCATTATCCAGTTTACAATATGTATGTACATTTATAACGTCATTTGACTAATGGTGGCTAGCAGGGGAATCCTAGATACATGTTTCATCAGCTGTATATACCTACATCTCTGGTGATTGACAGTAATCTCACTGACAATGGGACTCAGAATCCATCATTTTAAAATGACGATTTGTTATCAGAGATAAAATAATTCGATCCAGCATAAATCAGCCAACGGGAAATTCTCAGTATGCAAATTATTCTGAAATTTTGTAAACTAATTCGTCACTAACACAGTTTGCGGAGGTGAGAAATAACTAAAGTTTCCTTTGGAAATATGTTATTAGCAAAACAATCGGCTCTTTTATTACCTACTGTTTGTATTTTATGGGGACGCCATCTCAATTAACTGACAATCTTAGCTACTAACCTTATTATTATTATTTACTTTTTTTGGTATATATATGACTTCAGTGTCACTACTAATACCAAATAAGAACTAGCATTAACAATCTTGTAATATTATTTATAAAACTGTTTTTAATGTTGTTAGATAAAATTAGACCCAATATTGTACGAAATACTGAAAATTCCACACTGTCATTAGTACTGTTTTAGAATAAATCAGATTATTATGCTTCTTACTTTGAGATAAAAAAAGCCACTACTCAGTTGAGCATTTTCAACTCAGATAAGATAATTTGTTACCAACACAGATAGGAAGAAACATTACCTTCAAGAATACTGAGTAACGAATCACCTCCTTGATTATTAAATTCTTTTATAAGTGTGTAAATATTTGCCTCCAGAAATTCTTCATTCACACACTCACTGCTATACGATGCAAGTTTGAATAGTTCAGTTTTCATTGAAATCGGTTCAACGCCAGAAGCGAATAATCGACACTGATAGCTAGTGGAATGAATCGAAAAATGAATATATAAAAATGAGGATTGTCTTGTAGTCAATATTACAGGAAATTAGATTATGTGAGTGTGTTTAGCTTACGTAAAAGTTAGTTTCTGAATCCATTAGATACAACTGTTTACTTCTGATGACACCACAGAAATGTTTCATTGCTTAAAGTCTTACACTTCAAAAGGATTTTAACATTCGCGTTAAGATCATTTCACTGGATAATTCTACCAAAGTTATTTATTTATTTATTCATTCATATCCTGAAAATTAGATAAACTTCATCTCAATGTCACTCAAGAAAGTGGAGACGCAGTCTTCAGAATACAAAGTCGAGAAGGGGAGGAGATGTTGGCTTGGATCATTGTCTAGTGTTAGGAACCATCAAGATCAAGGTGAAAGCTTTGAAATTATATTATTATTATTATTGTTCCCTTGGGTTCCTAGTGGAACATAGGGCTTCAACTACACGTCTCCACTTGCTTCTATCTTCTGCTGTACTTTTTACTTGCATCCATGTTAGTTCATACTGTTTCAACTCCTCTTCATACGATCTCCTCAATGTCCCCCTTGGACGTCCCACTCGCCGCTTCCCTCTCGGGTTCCAATCGATCACTGGCCTGACGCGCAATGTCACCCTCCTCAGCGAGTGTCCAATCCATCTCCACTTTCTCCTGCATATTTGTTGAGCGATTGGTTCTTGTTTTGTTTGTTCCCTTAGTTTCTTGTTGGTGATTCTTTCCGGCCATGTGATCTTCAGTATGGAACGAAGACAGTTGTTGATAAAGGTCTGCAACAGACTGTTGGAAATATTCTTTGTGACACACTGGCCAA